GGGGGAGAGTGGGGGAGAGAGGCCGCCGCTGACGACCGACGCGACGAATGCGGCGATGTTGCCGTAGGAAAACTTGCCGTGGACCTGCGGAGGCGGTCGCCAGCTCTCCCCGCATCCGCATCTCCCCGCATCTCCCCGCATCTCCCCGCATCTCCCCGCATCTCCCCGCATCTCCCCGCATCTCCCCGCATCTCCCCGCATCTCCCCGCGTCTCCCCGCGTCTCCCCGCATCTCCCCGCATCTCCCCGCATCTCCCCGCATCTCCCCGCATCTCCCCGCCTCTCCCCGCCTCTCCCCGCCTCTCCCCGCCTCTCCCCGCATCTCCCCGCATCTCCCCGCATCTCCCCGCATCTCCCCGCATCTCCCCGCATCTCCCCGCATCTCCCCGCATCTCCCCGCATCTCCCCGCATCTCCCCGCATCTCCCCGCATCTCCCCGCATCTCCCGTGCACCTGCGGCATGAAGCGCGCGCCCGTCAGCTTCATCCCCGCCTGCGCGTCCTGCTCGTCCTTGCCCTCGTTCTCGTTCCACAGCACCAGCAGCGCGGGCGCCCTGTCGATGTTGAACTGCGCCATCAGGGAAGGGGGGGGAAGGTAGGCGTCTCCACACACACACCAGGTGCGGTGGTGGGGCAAGGGCCAGGCGACTCCCTCGCGTCGGACACGCGGGCAGGAGCTGGCGCGGCATCAAAGTGCAAGGCCCGGGGCCGTGGGGGAGCAGGCCTGCGCCATCATCGCGGGCGGCGCGAAGCCGAACTGCATCTGCCCCTCGAACGCCATGGAGAGGGAGCGGAAGATGGGCGGCACCTCGGCCTTGTCGGAGAAGAGGAGGCACGCCGCCTGCTCACAGCAGGAGGGGTGTGAACGGCGTCTCTTCACACCTCGGCCTTGCCGGGGGCGCACGCCGCCTTGGCCGCCGTCTGCGTGAGCGCCGCGGAGAAGAACATGTCGGGGGACCCCTGCCCGAGCTTATCGACGAGGCTGTCGGGCAGCGACGCGAGCGCGCCCTTCTTGGCCGCGTCGAGGCCGGCGGCGTCGGCCGCGAAAGGAACCGCCTTCTTCGCCGCCTTCTCGGCGGCGCCGAAAGGCAGCATCGCCACGGCGGGCGCCTCCTTGCCCCCGTACTTGGCCGCCAGCGCGGCGGGCGCGCGCCCGACGACCACCTGCCATGATGATAATAATAATTATGAGAATGAGAATAATGACGACGATGAGAATACTAATCGCGATAATCCTAAAACAACGGCCACCTGCCCGTATGTGGCCTCTGCGAGCGCCTCGAGGCCGTCCACGTCCCCGAAGGCCAGCACGTGCGGCTCGGCGCCTAATCTCGAGACGACCCGAGATGACCCGAGATGGCCCGAGGTGACCCGAGATTACCCGAGATTGCGCCAACACGTGCCGCGCGGCGCCTAGTCAGCGTGCAGCAACGCACCGCTCTCGAGGCAATGAGCCACCGAGTGCCCGTACCACACACGCGGCGCGGCCGAGCGACGAGAGGTCCGACTCGCTCAGATCGCGGACCAAGGACGCCGCGCCGCCGCCGCCGCCGCCGCCGCCGTCCTTTGGCGGCAGCGC